TATATTTTTGTCACCCATCTACAGACAATACCCCATAATGACAAAGTGAAAATGTGTTTTTAGAAATGTTTTGCAAATGTATTAAAAATCAAATACAGAAATATCTCATTTACATAAGTATTCACACCCCTGAGTCAATACATGTTAGAATCACCTTTGGCAGCGATTACAGCTGTGAGTCTTTCTGGGTAAGTCTCTAAGAGCTTTGCACACCTGGATTGTACAATATTTGCACATTATTATTTTCTAAATTCTTCAAGCTATGTCATGTTTGTTGTTGATCATTGATAGACAGCCATTTTCAAGTCTTGCCATAGATTTAAGACGATTTAAGTCAAAACTGCAACTAGGTGACTCAGGAACATTCAATGTTGTCTTGGTAAGCAACAGTGCATATTTGGCCTTGTGTTTTAGGTCCTGCTGAAAGGTGAATTTGTCTCCCAGTCTCTGTTGGAAAGCAGACTGAACCAGGTTTTCCTCTAGGAAAACTCTGTAGTCTTTGCCGATGACAAGCATACCCATAACATGATGCAGCTACCACCATGCTTGAAAATATGAAGAGTGGTACTCAGTGATATGTTGTGTAGGATTTTCCCCAAACATAACGCTTTGTATTCAGGACAAAAAGTTAATTTCTTTGCCACTTTCTTTGCAGGTTTGCTTTCGTGCCTTATTGCAAAAAGGATGCATGTTTTGGAATATTTTTATACTGTACAGGCTTCTTTCTTTTCACTCTGTCATTTAGGTTAATATTGTGGATTAACTACAATGTTGTTGATCCATCCTCAGTTGTCTCCTATCTCAGCCATTAAACTCTGTAACTGTTTTAAAGTCACCATTGGCTTCATGGTGAAAAATCCCTGATTGGCTTCCTTCCTCTCCGGCAGTTAGGAAGGATGCAGTTAGGAAGGATGCCTGTATCTTTGTAGTGACTGGGTGTATTGATACACCATCCAAAGTGTAATTGGTAACTTCACCATGCTCAAAGGGATGTTCAGTGTCTGTTTAAAAAAAAATGTTTTACCCATCTACCAATAGGTGCCCTTCTTTGCGAGGCATTGGAAAACCTTCCTTGTTTAATCTGTGTATGAAATTCACTGCTCGACTGAAGGACCTTACAGCTAATTGTATGTGTGAGCTACAGCGATGAGGTACTCATAAAAAAATCATGTTAAACATTATTATTGCACACAGAGTGAGTCCATAAAACGTATTTTTACTCCTGAACTTATTTAGGCTTGCCATAACAAAGGGGTTGAATACTTATTGACTCAAGACATTTCAGCTTTACATTTTTTATTAATTTGCAAACATTTCTAAAAACATAATTCCACTTTGACATTAGAGGGTATTGTGTGTAGGCCAGTGACACAAAATCTCAATTTAATCCATTTTAAATTCAGGCTGTAACACAACAAAATGTGGAAAAAGTCAAGGGGTGTGAATACTTTGGTTAACTATTTAGCAGTCTTATGGTTTGGGGTTGAAGCTGTTCAGGGTCTTGTTGGTTCCAGACTTGGTGCACCAGTACCACTTGCCGTGCGGTAGCAGAGAGAACAGTCTATGACTTGGGTGACTGGAGTCTTTGACAATTTTCTGGGCCTTCCTCTGACACCGCCTAGTATATAGGTCCTGGGTCCTGGATGGCAGGAAGCTTGGCCCCAGTGATGTACTGGGCCGTACGCACTACCCTCTGTAGCGCCTTACGGTCAGATGCCGAGCAGTTGCCATACCAGGCGGTGATGCAACCGGTCAGGATACTCTCGATGGTGCAGCTGTAGAATTTCTTGAGGATATGGGGACCCATGCCAAATCCTGAGGGGGAAAGGCATTGTCGTGCCCTCTTCACGACTGTCTTGGTGTGTTTGGACCATGATAGTTTGTTGGTGATGTGGACACCAAGGAACTTGAATCTCTCGACCTGCTCCAGTACAGCCCCGTCAATGTGAATGGGGGCGTGTTCGGCCCTCCTTTTCCTGTAGTCCACGATCAGCTCCTTTGTCTTGCTCACGTTGAGGGAGAGGTTGTTGTCCTGGCACCACACTGCCAGGTCTCTGACCTCCTCCCTATAGGCTGTCTCATCGTTGTCGGTAATCAGGCCTACCACTGTTGGTCGTCAGCAAACTTAATGATGGTGTTGGAGTCGTGCCTGGCCATGCAGTCATGGGTGAACAGGGAGTACAGGAGGGGACTGAGCACGCACCCTGAGGGGCCCCCGTGTTGAGGATCAGCGTGGCAGATGTGTTGTTGCCTATCCTTACCACCTGGGGGCAGCCCGTCAGGAAGTCCAGGATCCAGTTGCAGAGGGAGGTGTTTAGTCCCAGGGTCCTTAGCTTAGTGATGAGCTTGGAGGGCATTATGGTGTTGAACGCTGAGCTGTAGTCAATGAACAGCATTCTCACATAGGCGTTCCTCTGGTCCAGGTGGGAGAGGGCAGTGTGGAGTTCAATAGAGATTGCGTCATCTGTGGATCTGTTGGGGCGGTATGTGAATTGGAGTGGGTCCAGGGTGTCTGGGATGATGGTGTTGTTGTGAGCCATGACCAGCACCCGCACACACAGACACACGCCTCAGGCAGTAGTGGGAGTACGGCTGTTGCGGTGACCGTATTACCGCCACACCTCATTAGTAGCCTACCAAACTTGCTAACTGCCTGGAACTCAGCACTCTATTGTCCCTCTAATCACTCTGACATCAATTGCACATGTAATCTAAAATCTAATCAAACACTTCGTGAGAGCCCCATGAGCTCATGTTGAGCAACATTTCTATAGGCTATGCAATTGCACGAGAAAAAAGAGTGATGGCCTCTTTAAAAGTGGAGGATCCCATCAGCTTTCAATAGGCTAGGCCTACTATATTTATTAAGCACATTGCTTATATTTACAACATGAGTATAGTCTACCTGGCTGGCATGAAAATGAACCAAGAGAAAAGTGTCTTCCATTCGCTATTTAAGTGCATAGATGACATGTATTTTTTTTTTTTTTTCCGCTGCCCCTGTTTCGAGACAGGTGCATGATAATGGACCATTCTAAATCAAAACAAATATCACACATATATTATTTAGTATATTTAAAGACAAGATTAAATCAAGAATAGTCTGATGGGTGAAAACATTAGCCTATCACTTGTGAATGATATATTATCACTTGTGAATGATGCCCAGCGTGAGGCAAGAAACAATGCCTTTTTTTAGCGACTTTTTCTAATCATAGTCGCACACCTCATCTAGCCTAGCCCATAGGCCTATATGTTTTAATAAGGTTTGTATTACAGCTAAAGTGGCCAAATTACTTCTTAAAATTAAGCACATTAATCCGCTTTACAAGGGGTGTAGAGCCTAATTGGCATACATAAGCAGTGTGTGAGTTTCAAGTTTGGGGAAGATCATTTTCACCATAAAAATGCACCTTTATAATAAAAGCATTACATGCATAATTGCATTTGCGGTCACTTTTGATAATTGTGGTTTCCGCTAATGGAACATTCACACTTATAGCCTACTACCATGTGTGCATTGCTGTCCTTATAATGTGAAGAAATAGCCTAATACTTTATCAACATTTTAAGCTAAACGTTCTGATCTGTTGCATCAGCCTCATTGCGTAAAAAAGGTTTTTTGATGCTAGTGGTTGTATTAATTTGGGATCTATCGCATCCCACAACTGTCCCAGACTATGTTTGGAATATTTATTTCTAGTACAGAATAGAATAGGTCAACTTTTGTACTATGGGGGATAGTAGATTGACATAGGCTAGTGCTTTTGCTGTTCGTTAGGCCTACTCATCTTGATGGCTGACGAAAAGTAAATGTGTACAGTTCTTCCAATATCTTCAATATGCACCTCGGAACTGGATAAGGACGCACGCAGTTGTGTCTCCGGTGTGTCTCTCTTCACTTGTAGGCTGTGAGAAAGAGTATGTGATTTTAAATAGCAACTGCCCCTAAAAACCAACTTCTCATTTAGAAAACAGGTGGCATCGATATGAGTCAGAAACATTTATTCTACTGCCAGAATTAACTACAAAATGTAAATATAATAATTTTAGTAATAAAGTCAGTCTCATCTAAAACAGAGTTTTGTGGTCGTGACTGCATTACAACGTAAATGAAGGTAGGATTTGTTTCAATCCAGCGCACATGCCCAATCATCAATTCGGAGTGCAGCTGCACGCAACCCAATCGTTATGCCCGCTGAAAATTTGGGTTGACTATGGATATCCCTATGGGTAGGGCCCTGTGCTTTGGTTAATCATGTCACATGACCTCGATTTGAACCTTTATTTAAAGCTTTTTCATCAAACCGTCCCCTTTTCTTTTTGTGTCAGATGGTCCAGCACCATCCTCATATAATTGCTTTCATTTTTGGTCTAATTCTCATTTCTAAAATAAAGGGTCAAATCCAGGTCATGTGACATGATTAACCAAAATACAGGGCCCTACCAATGGGAGTAGTTAGGGACCATCAGTAATTACACAATGTACATGAGACAATATGTTAACATTCAAATAGCTCCAAAAAAAAAATTATGCACTCACTAACTGTAAGTCGCTCTGGATAAGAGCGTCTGCTAAATGACTAAAATGTAAAAACAACTAAAAGATGTGCAACATGAAAATATTGTCTCATTTACATTGTGTAATTTTTTGATGGTCCCTAACTAGCCCCGGAGATAGGCTATCCAAAGTCAATCCACTTTTCCCACGGTCTCACACCAGCCGGCTGAAGCTAATGGCCAAAATAATTAAGAGTAACTCTTCCCACCTGCGAACACACACAAGAGACACCCACATCAAACCACACCCCAAAAACAACTCACGTTTGTATTCAGTCATCATGACCACTAGCATTTCTTAATGAACCAAATCTAAAACGTGGCCAAATCAGGAAGTGCAGTCGCCCTTTAAACCTTTCGGCCTTGAAATTGAAAAGTGAGTTGGGCAGTGAGCGAGCGAGCGAGCGCTGGCTCAGGAGTGAATAGTGAAGCGTGCTGAAATGTCTCTGGTCGCCATGGGAGATGGTGAATAATGCATGCTGAATAATGCATGGTAAAAGCAGAGGAATATGCTCATCTCTCAGACAAGCACAACCAGTCTTTTCTCTCCTGGCTTAGTTTCCACCACTACTGGTTTCCATTCTCAGTACAGTTCTAGGGAACGGCCCCAACCATGCACACGCACACGCACGTGCATGTTCCCACACACACCATTAGTCTACAGAGTAATTACCAAATAGTAACTTGATACTCTTATTTACACCAAGTTGTTTTCCTCAACAAAGTCAATTCAGACCCGCCAAACCCAGATGTGCATCAGTGTGTGTGTGTTTCATGCAGAGGGGCATCTTTTCTCCATTTCCTCCCCACTCATTCAGGAAGTGGACTAATGGCATTTGAGAGGATGGAGGGAGTGAAGAAGAGAGGTGGGAGTTCGAGGGCACGGGAGAGAGGGAGGGAGCGAGGGAGGGAGCTGTTAGTGAGTTCCTTCCTGTGCTGTGTCATTTGTATTTCCTGTGGTAATGGTGGCCTTGAGACCAGTAAGACCCCCCCCAACACACACACACACACACAGGGTGAGGCAGGTTAGAGTGAGACAGAGTTAGGTAGTATAGAAGAAGAGCAAGGCAAAGTGAGACAGTTGGGCTGTGTGATGCGGTGTTGAGACAGACAGAGTGATCCAGACAGTGAGACAGAGACGACACAGTGTGTTGGGATTCCACTCACGTCTATACTAGTCTCTTTATTCTCTTCTATAATTAGCTGACATGAGTTCCTCCCTCCCAGTGGTGGAACACTCCTGAGGAACACCACTCTCCCCTGACACACACACATACACACTCACACACATGCACACACTTGGAGACACACAAAGAATGCAGGTGCACAGAACAGTGCTACTATAGGAATTAATAGAAAAAGATTGAAATTAATTACATTTTTACATTTTAGTCATTTAGCAGACGCTCTTATCCAGAGCGACTTACAGTTAGTGAGTGCATACATTTTCATACTGGCCCCCCGTGGGAAACAAACCCACAACCCTGGCGTTGCAAACGCCATGCTCTACCAACTGAGCTACAGAGGGCCTAATAGCTATAGATTAATAAGTAATGAGAAGGATAGACAGAAAGTTACATAAACTGTACAGTAGACATTCATAAATGGGTAAATAGATACAGTATATGTCAAAGGGTAGAGAATTGACAGGTTCTTTAGAATCTGGGTTGAGCAGGCAGCGTGAAGTAGAGGCAGACAACAAAGGAAGGCACTATATACAGTGCATTCAGAAAGTATTCAGACCCCTTGACTTTTTCCACATTTTGTTACGTTTCAGCCTTATTCTAAAATTGATTAAATTGTTTTTTCCCCCTCATCAATCTACACACAATACCCCATAATGACAAAGCAAAAACAGGTTTGTAGAAATTTTTGCAAATGTATTAAAAATATGTATAAGAAATATGTAATTTACATAATTATTCATATATTTGAGATTCTTCAAAGTAAACACCCTTTGCCTTGATGACAGCTTTGCACACTCTTGGCATTCTCTCAACCAGCTTCACCTGGAATGCTTTTCCAACAGTCTTGAAGGAGTTCCCACAAACGCTGAGCACATGTTGCCTGCTTCTCCTTCACTCTGCAGTCCAACTCATCCCAAACCATCTCAATTGGGTTGAGGTTGGGTGATTGTGGAGGCCAGGTCATCTGATTGCAGCACTCCATCACTCTCCTTCTTGGTGAAATAGCCCTTACACAGCCTGGAGGTGTGTTGGGTCATTGTCCTGTTGAAAAACAAATGATAGTCCCACTAAACCCAAACCAGATGGGATGGCGTATTGCTGCAGAATGCAATGGTAGCCATGCTGGTTAAGTGTGCCTTGAATTCTAAATGAATCACAGACAGTGTCACCAGCAAAGCACCCCAACACCATCACACCTCCTCCTACATGCTTCACAGTGGGAACCACACATGCAGAAATAATCCGTTCATCTACTCTGCGTCTCACAAAGACACAGGGGTTGGAACCAAAGGACCCAAGGACAGATTTCCACCAGTCTAATGTCCGTTGCTCGTGTTTCTTGGCCCAAGCAGGTCTCTTCTTCTTATTGGTGTTCTTTAGTAGTGGTTTCTTTGCAGCAATTCGACCATGAAGGCCTGATTCACGCAGTCTCCTCTGAACTGTTGATGTTGAGATGTGTCTGTTACTGTTACTCTTTTAAGCATTTATTTGGCTGCAATTTCTGAGGCTGGTAACTCTAATGAACTTGTCCTCTGCAACAGAGGTAACTCTGGGTCTTCCATTCCTGTGGCGGTCCTCATGAGCGCCAGTTTCATCATAGCGCTTGATGGTTTTTGTGACTGCACTTGAAGAAACGTTCAAAGTTCTTGAAATGTTCCAGATTGACTGACCTTCATGTCTTAAAGTAATGATGGACTGTCGTTTCTCTTTGCTTATTTGAGCTGCCATAATATGGACTTGGTCTTTTACCAAATAGGGCTATCTTCTGTATACCCCCCCCTACCTTGTCACAACACAACTGATTGGCTCAAACGCATTAAGTAGGATAGATATTCCACAAATTAACTTTTAACAAGGCACACCTGTTAAGTGAAATGCATTCCTGGTGACTAACTCATGAAGCTGGTTGAGAGAATGCCAAGAGTGTGCAAAGCTGTCATCAAGGCAATGTGTGGCTACTTTGAAGAATCTAAAATATAAAATATATGTTGATTTGTTTAACACTTTTTTGGTTTCTACATGATTCCATATGTGTTATTTCATAGTTTTGATGTCTTCACTATTATTCTACAATGAACAAGAAAATAGTAAAAATAAAGAAAAACCCTTGAATGAGTAGGTGTGTCCAAACTTTTGACTGGTACTGTAAGTATTCAGACCCTTTACTCAGTACTTTGTTGAAGCACCTTTGGCAGCGATTACAGCCTCGAGTCTTCTTGGGTATGACGCTTGGCACATCTGTATTTGGGGAGTTTCTCCCATTATTCTCTGCAGATCCTCTCAAGCTCTGTCAGGTTGGATGTTCGATCGGGTTCAAGTCCGGGCTCTGGCTGGGCCACTCAAGTACATTCAGAGACTTGTCCTGAAGCCACTCCTGCGTTGTCTTGGCTGTGTGCTTAGGGTCATTGTCCTGTTGGAAGGTGAACCTTCACCCCCAGTCTGAGGTCCTGAGGGCTCTGGAGCAGGTTTTCATCAAGGATCTCTCTGTACTTTGCTCCATTCATCTTTCCCTTGATCCAGACTAGTCTCCCAGTCCCTACCGTTGAAAAACATCCCAACAGCATGATGCTGCCACCACCATGCTTCACCGTAGGGATGGTGCCAGGTTTCCTCCAGATGTGACGCTTGGCATTCAGGCAAAAGAGTTCAATCTTGGTTTCATTTGACCAGAGAATCTTGTTTCTCATGGTCTGAGAGTACTTAAGGTGCCTTTTGGCAAACTCCAAGCGGTCTGTCATGTGCCTTTTACTGAGGAGTGGCTTCCGTTTGGCCACAACCATAAAGGCCTGATTTGTGGAGTGCTGCAGAGATGGTTGTCCTTCTGGAAGGTTCTCCCATCTCCACAGAGGAACTCTAGAGCTCTGTCAGAGTGACCATCGGGTTCTTGGTCACCTCCCTGACCAAGGCCCTTCTCCAACGATTGCTCAGTTTGGCTGGGCGGCCAGCTCTAGGAAGAGTCTTGGTGGTTCCAAACTTCTTCCATTTAAGAATGATGGAGGGCACTGTGTTCTTGGGGACCTTCAATGCTGCAGAAATGTTTTGTTACACTTCCCCAAATCTGTGCCTCGACTCAATCCTGTCTCGGAGCTCTAAGGACAATTCCTTCGACCTCATGGCTTGGTTTTTGCTCTGACATGCACTGTCAACTGTGGGACATTATATAGACAGGTGTGTGCCTTTCCAAATCATGTCCAATCAATTACATTTACCACAGGGGGACTCCAATCAAGTTGTAGAAACATCTCAAGGATGATCAATGGAAACAGGATGCACCTGAGCTCAATTTCGAGTCTCAAAGGGTCTGAATACTTATTTAAATAAGGTATTTCTGTTTTTGTTTTTTTAATACATTTACAAAAATTTAAAAAAAAAACAGTTTTCGCTTTGTCATTATGGGGTATTGTGTGTAGATTGATGAGGGAAAAAAATTATTGAATCAATTTTAGAATAAGGCTGTAACGTAACAAAATGTGGATTAAGTGAAGGGGTCTGAATACTTTCCGAATGCACTGTATATAGCGCAGTGTGCACAACTTTTGACCAGAGGCATTGGGATTTTGGGATGCAACTATAAAAACAGCTGTGGTGGAGCCCCAGAGGTCACTCTGTTAACCTGTAGAATGGTTTTAGTGTAATGCTAGACTAAGTCCTGAGATCAGTGTAACAGTGTGGTTAGCATAGTGTAACCCTGTAGCAGTATGGTTAGTGTAGTGTAACCCTGTCCTCCAGAGGGGTGCTGTGAATAATTTAGATGACAAATGAGTTTGCCAGGAGGTCTAGGTGTTCTTCTGAGTGGGAGGGGTGAGAGTGTTTCCACTGCTTCAGGTTTCCTCAGTCACATCGCACACCTCAGATATCAACACTTAAAGGTCCAATGCAGCTGTTTTTATCTCAGTATCTGTTATGACGAGTTTCTCGGGTATCAAAGAATCAAGGATGCAAGGATATACTTAGACACTTTGTAGACAGTTAATGCAAATGTTTAATGATCGGTACCGGGTTCGTTACAACAATGACCAGAGCTTTGCCCCTTGGTGTTACGAACTAACTTGAACAAAGGAAACACTCTACCTTATATACCCTCTATTACCCTCTTCCTGGCATACATCTGGTAAGTCTCCATGGGCACTCCCTGACTTTGATGTTCATCACTCTTACCCCAAGTCACTATCCTGCCCATCACTCATGCTATCCTAAACATCAGTAATCTCCTTTGACATAATGGAATGTAGACTTTCTGTCTCCTAACCACTTATATAGTAACTCTAACCTGTTCCCCACGATACTATATAATAATAATAATATGCCATTTAGCAGACGCTTTTATCCAAAGCGACTTACAGTCGTGCGTGCATACATTTTTGTGTATGGGTGGTCCCGGGGATCGAACCCACTACCTTGGTGTTACAAGCGCCGTGCTCTACCAGCTGAGCTACTATGACATGACATCATTACAGTATCAAATAATTTCTGGGTAACAATTATGTACCTTACCATGATTGTTTTCAATTAAAATTTCAAAAACAAACACAAACAGCTTCTTAGAAAAGGGCAATTTCTCAAGCAAGAATTTAGCTAGGACTGTCTGGGAGTGGTCTGAGTAGGGATGGGAAAACTGAAAATTAGCTGTTATTGGCAGAGAGGCTTGGAACTCTATTTATTATTGGTCTATTAACTAATTTATATTAAATAGTACCTGCAAAACACCAGTCTCAACGTCAACAGTGAAGAGACTCTGGGATGCTGACTTAGGCAGAGTTGCAAAGATAAAGCCATATCTCAGACTGGCCAATAAAAAGAAAAGATTGGGCAAAAGAACACAGACACTGGAATTTTCTTTGCAACTCTGCCTAGGTCAGCATCCCGGAGTCGCCTCTTCACTCTTGACGTTGAGACTGGTGTTTTGCGGGTACTATTTAATGAAGCTGCCAGTTGAGGACCTGTGAGGTGTCTGTTTCTCAAACTAGACACTCTAATGTATTTGTCCTCTTGCTCAGTTGTGCACCGGGGCCTCCCACTCCTATTTCTATTCTGGTTAGAGCCAGTTTGCGCTGTTCTTTGATAGGAGTAGTACAGAGCGTTGTATGAGATCTTCAGTTTCTTGGCAATTTCTCGCATGGAATAGCCTTTATTTCTCAGAACAAGAATAGACTGACGAGTTTCAGAAGAAAGTTATTTGTTTCTGGCCATTTTTATCCTGTAATCTATCCCACAATTGCTGGTGCTCCAGATACTCAACTAGTCTCAAGAAGGCCAGTTGTATTGCTTCTTTAATCAGCACAACAGTTTTCAGCTGTGCTAACATAATTGCAAAAGGGTTTTCTAATTATCAATTAGGCTTTTAAAATGATAAACTTGGATTAGCAAACACAACGTGCCATTGGAACACAGGACTGATGGTTGTTGATAATGGGTCTCTGTACGCCTATGTAGATATTCCATTAAAAATCAGCCGTTTCCAGCTACAATATCCATTTACAACATTAACAATGTCTACACTGTATTTCTGCTAAAGTTGATGTTATTTTAATGGACAAAAAATTTGCTTTTCTTTCGGAAACAAGGACATTTCTAAGTGACCCCAAACTTTTGAATGGTAGTGTATATAAAACACAGAAAGATCACTGCACTGGGCCTTTAAGAATGTTACTCTCAGCTCTTGTCAGAATGTAAACAGAGTTGTGTATGAAGTGTAGACTGTAGACTCTTAATCAATGTGTGTGATTTCAGTGTTTGAACAGGTTATGTGCTAGAACATCAGGCCTTAACTACTAGGCGGCACAATCCCAAACAATACTGTCCAACAACAGTATTAATCTCACTCACTGAGTAAGCCTGCCCATATGGAAAATAAAAATCATTCAAATAAGAATATTGTAAGGCAGATTATACACTGAGTGTACAAAACATTAAGAATCAATCAATCAATCAAATGTTATTTATAAAGCCCTTTTTACATCAGCAGATGTCACAAAGTGCTATACAGAAACCCAGCCTAAAAACCCAAACAGCAAGCAATGCATATGTAGAAGCACGTTGGCTTGGAAAAACTAGAAAGGCAGAAGCCTAGGAAGAAACCTAGAGAGGAAACAGGCTCTGAGGGGTGGCCAGTCCCCTTCTGGCTGTGCCGGGTGTAGATTATAACATTACATGGCCATTAAGGCCAGATTTTTCTCCAAGATGTTCAAACGTTCATAGATGACCAGCAGGGTCAAATAATAATCACAGTGGTTGTAGAGGTTGCAACAGGTCAGTACATCAGGAGTAAACGTCACTAGGCTTTTCATAGCCGGGCATTTAGAGGTTGAAATAGCAGGTGCGGTAGAGAGAGAGAGTTGAAAACAGTAGGTCTGGGACAAGGTAGCACGTCCGGTGAACAGGTCAGGGTTCCATAGCCGCAGGCAGAAGAGTTGAAACTGGAGCAGCAGCACGACCAGGTGGACTGGGGACAGCAAGGAGTCATCAGACTAGGTAGTCCTGAGGCATGGTCCTAGGGCTCAGGTCCTCCGGGATGGGAGGGAGAGAGAGAGAGAGAGAGAGAGAGAGAATTAGAGGGAGCATACTTAAATTCACACAAGACAGGAGAATAACACCAGATATAACAGACTGACCCTAGCCCCCCGGCACATAGACTATTGCAGCATAGAGACTGAAGGATGAGACAGGGGAGGTTGGGAGACACTGTGGCCCCATCCGACGATACCCCCAGACAGGGCCAACCAGGCAGGATATAACCCCACCCACTTTGCCAAAGCACATCCCCCACACCACCAGAGGGATATCAACAGACCACCAACATACTACCCTGAGACAAGGCTGAGTATAGCCCACGAAGATCTCCTCCACTGCACGAGCCCGAAGGATCGACAAGAACACCTTCCTAATATTGAGTTGCCCTCAGAACAGCCTCAATTCGTCTGGGCATGGACTCTACAAGGTGTCGAAAGCGTTCCACAGGGATGGTGGCCCATGTTGACTCCAATGCTTCCCACAGTTGTGTGAAGTTGGCTGGATGTCCTTTGGGTGGTGGACCATTCTTGATACACACAGGAAACTGTTGAGCGTGAAACACCCAGCAGTGATGCAGTTCTTGACACAAACCGGTGCTCCTGGCACCTACTACCAAACCCCGCTCAAAGGCACTTAAATATTTTGTCTGAATGGCACACACACAATCCATGTCTCAATTCTCTCAAAGTTAAAAAATCCTTCTTTAATCTGTTTCCTCATCTACGCTGATTTAAGTGGATTTAACAAGTGACATCAGTAAGGGATCATAGCTTTCACCTGGATTCACCTGGACAGTCTATGTCATGGAAACAGCATGTGTTCATAATGTTTTGTCCCTCAGTGTATGTCAGTGGTGTATTTGTATATGTGTTGACTTACATGTGGCAAACACAATTGAATACATGATTGTGGTCATGTTCCTACATCTTTCCAAGATGGCGTAGCAGTACGGTCGCTTTTATTTTTCGTCCTGTGTAAATATCCCGTTTCTTGTTTTTTTTGTCTATATTTCTCAATTTTTTTACTTTCATTCTTTAACTAAATATACTCTCCTGCAACCCGCCTCTCCCAACGTGGAAAGGATTCTATTATTTCTTTATAACTTTCATCAAGAACCGTAAGCTGAAACGTGTGTAGCCGCAATCTGAATTGGCTACCTGCTATTAGTTACCGTTAGCGTCTTCACCACTATCCACCAGCCAGCTCTAGCTAGCCTGGACAATTCGTCGGCCAGTCTGCACAGCGTGCTATCGACCCAGCGTGCTATCGACCCATAGCTTATTGGACTTTCTGCCGGAATCACTGGACCCTAGCGCCGGATCATCACAACCAGCTAGCTAGCTGCAACTAAATGGCTACCTGTTATTAGTCACCGTTAGCGTCTCCACCATTGTCCGTGGCCTACACTATCCACCAGTCAGCTCTAGCTAGCCTGGACAATTCGTCGGCCAGTCTGCACAGCGTGCTATCGACCCAGCGTGCTATCGACCCATAGCTTATTGGACTTTCTGCCGGAATTCACTGGACCCTAGCGCCGGATCATCACAACCAGCTAGCTAGCTGCAACCTGCTGTTGGCTGATTACCATTGCCATATAGCAAGCACCAGTTAGCCTTGAGCTAGCCTGCTAGCTCCCTGCTAGCTGTGCTGAAGCACCAATTTGAACTGCTCTCGGACTCACATATTGCTGTTCACTGGACCTTATGATCACTCAGCTGCACAGCTGATGCCTGCTGGACTGTTCCTTTACACGGTACTCTGTCCTGTTTATTCTGTTTAGTCTTAGCCCAAACGTTATCGCTATTTCCAGTTGTGTCTTAGCTCTCTCTAATAACACGTGACTGCTTTATGCCTCTCTCCCATGTCAATTATGCCTTGCCTATTGCTGTTTGGGTTAGTTCTTATTATACAATTTCAATGTAGAACCCCTAGTCCCTCTCAAACTGTCTCATATAGTTCCTTTGTTCCCCCCCCCATACACGCCGAGACCGGCTCAATCGATGCCTCCAATGACGCTATCTCTTTCATTGTTACCCAACACTTAGGATTACCTGAACTGTACTCATATCCTTCCATATCCTTTTCTGTACATAATGCCCTGAATCTATTCTACAACGCCCGGAAATCTGCCCCCTTTATTCTATGTACCCAACGCACTAGAAGACCAGTTCTTAAAGCCTTTAGTCGTATCCTTATTCTAGTCCTCCTCTGTTCCTCTGGTGATGTAGAGGCTAACCCAGGCCCTGCAGCCCCCAGTATCACTCCTACTCCCCAGGAGCTATCATTTGTTGACTTCTGTAACCGTAAAAGTCTTGGTTTTCTGCACATAAATATCAGAAGCCTCCTTCCTAAGTTTGAGTTATTCACTGCGTTAGCACACTCCGCCAACCCTGATGTTCTAGCAGTGTCTGAATCCTGGCTTAGGAAGGCCACCAAAAATTCTGAAATTTCCATCCCCAACTATAACATTTTCCGTCTAGATAGAACTGCCAAAAGGGGTTGAGTTGCAATCTACTGTAGAGATAGCCTGCAGAGCTCCATCATACTATCCAGGTCTGTGCCCAAACAGTTTGAGCTTTTACTTCTGAAAATCCACCTTTCCAGAAATAAATCTCTCACTGTTGCCGCTTGCTACAGACCCCCCTCAGCCCCCAGCTGTGCCCTGGACACCATATGTGAATTGATTGCCCCCCATCTATCCTCAGAGTTCGTACTGCTTGGTGACCTAAATTGGGATATGCTTAATACCCCAGCCATCCTACAATCCAAGCTAGATGCCCTCAACCTCACGCAAATTATCAACGAACCTACCAGGTACAACCCTAAATCCGTAAACATGGGTACCCTCATAGATATCATCCTGACTAACTTACCCTCTAAATACACCTCCGCTGTCTTCAACCAGGATCTCAGCGATCACTGCCTTATTGCCTGCGTCCGTAACGGGTCCGCGGTCAAACGACCACCCCTCATCACTGTCAAACGCTCCCAAAAACACTTCAGCGAGCAGGCCTTCCTAATTGACCTGGCCCAGGTATCCTGGATGGATATAGATCTCATTCCGTCAGTAGAGGATGCCTGGTTGTTCTTTAAAAGTAATTTCCTCTCAATCTTAAATAGACATGCCCCATTCAAAAAATACAGAACTAAGAACAGATATAGCCCCTGGTTCTCCTCAGACTTGACTGCCCTTGACCAGCACAAAAACATCCTGTGGCGTACTGCATTAGCATCAAATAGCCCCCGTGATATGCAACTTTTCAGGGAAGTTAGGAACCAATATACACAAGCAGTTAGGAAAGCAAAGGCTAACTTTTTCAAACAGAAATTTGCATCCTGTAGCACTAACTCCAAAAAGTTTTGGGACACTGTAAAGTCCATGGAAAATAAGAGTACTTCCTCCCAGCTGCCCACTGCACTGAGGCTAGGAAACACTATCACCACCGATAAATCTACAATAATCGAGAATTTCAACAAGCATTTTGCTACGGCTGGCCATGCTTTCCACCTGGCTACCACTACCCCGGCCACCAGCTCTGCACCCTCTGCTGCAACTTGCCCATGCCCCCCCCGCTTCTCCTTCACACAAATCCAGACAGCTGATGTTCTAAAAGAGCTGCAAAATCTGGACCCCTACAAATCATCTGGACTAGACAATCTGGACCCTTTCTTTCTAAAACTAGCCGCCGAAATTGTTGCAACCCCTATTACTAGCCTGTTCAACCTCTCTTTCGTAACGTCTGAGATCCCCAGAGATTGGAAAGCTGCCGCGGTCATCCCCCTCTTCAAAGGGGGTGACACTCTAGACCCAAACTGTTACAGACCTATATCCATCCTGCCCTGCCTTTCAAAAGTTTTTGAAAGCCAAGTCAACAAACAGATCACCAACCATTTCGAATCCCACCGTACCTTCTCCGCTATGCAATCCGGTTTCCGAGCTGGTCATGGGTGCAGTTCAGCCACGCTCAAGGTCCTAAATGATATTATAACCGCGATCGATAATAGACAGTACTGTGCAGCCGTTTTCATTGACCTGGCCAAGGCTTTCGACTCTGTCAACCACCGCATTCTTATTGGCAGACTAAATAGCCTTGGTTTCTCAAATGACTGCCTCGCCTGGTTCACCAACTACTTCTCAGATAGAGTTCAATGTGTCAAATCGGAGGGCCTGTTGTCTGGACCTATGGCAGTCTCTATGGGGGTGCCACAGGGTTCAATTCTTGGGCCAACTCTTTTCTCCGTGTATATCAATGATGTCGCTCTTGCTGCTGGTGACTCTCAGATCCACCTCTACGCAGACGACACCATTTTGTATACATCTGGCCCTTCATTGGACACTGTGTTAACAAACCTCCAAACGAGCTTCAATTCCATACAACACTCCTTCAGTAGCCTCCAACTGCTCTTAAACACTAGTAAAACAAAATGCATGCTCTTCAACCGAACGCTGCTTGCACCCGCCCACCCGACTAGAATCACTACTCTAGACGGGTCTGACCTAGAGTACGTGGACAACTACAAATATCTAGGTGTCTGGTTAGACTGTAAACTCTCCTTCCAGACTCACATTAAGAATCTCCAATCCAAAGTTAAATCTAGAATCGGTTTCCTATTTCGCAACAAAGCCTCCTTCACTCATGCTGCCAAACATGCCCTCGTAAAGCTGACTATCCTACCGATCCTCGACTTCGGCGATGTCATTTACAAAATAGCCTCCAACACTCTACTCAGCAAATTGGATGTTGTCTATCACAGTGCCATCCGTTTTGTCTCCAAAGCCCCATATAATACCCACCACTGTGACCTGTACGCTCTTGTTGGCTGGTCCTCACTACATATTCGTCGCCAAACCCACTGGCTCCAGGCCATCTATAAATCACTGCTAGGCAAATCCCCGCCTTATCTTAGCTCATTGGTCACCATAGCAACACCCACCCGTAGTCTGCGCTCCAGCGGGTATATCTCACTGGTCATCCCCAAAGCCAACACCTCCTTTGGCCGCAATTCCTTCCAGTTCTCTGCTGCCAATGACTGGAACAAATTGCAAAAATCTCTGAAGCTGGAGACACTTATCTCCCTCACTAACTTTAAGCATCAGTTGTCAGAGCACCTTACCGATCACTGCACCTGCACACAGCCCATCTGAAATTAGCCCGCCCAACTACCTCATCCCTATATTGTTATTTATTTTGCTCATCTGTACCCCAGTATCTCTATTTGCACATCATCTCTTGCACATCATTCCAGTGTTAATACTAAATTGTAATTATTTTGCACTATAGCCTATTTTATTGCCTTACCTCCATAACTTGCTAAATTTGCACACTGTATATTAATTGTATTTCTGTTGTATATATATATTTTTTTTTTTGATTTTTTGTTTTATTTTACCCCATATGTAACTCTGTGTTGTTGTTTTTATCGCACTGCTTTGCTTTATCTTGGCCAGGTCGCAGTTGTAAATGAGAACTTGTTCTCAACTGGTTTACCTGGTTAAATAAAGGTGAAATAAAATAAATAAAAAAATATATATGGTATGTGAGACCTTAGAAGGCTTAGCTTACATGTCTTTTGTATGGTTTTGTACAATACATGCAACATATAAGTCAGATATTACAATAATCTTCTATGAATCTTGTAAGTGTATTTCCTGCCATATATCTAACCCTTCCAGGTAGAACATATAAGAATCTTGTTAAATTATTCTATATCATTTCTATGTTGGTGTGGACAAATGGCTGTGTTTCATCTGTAAACCATGGTAACACACACCTACTGTTGACCCCCCCACACACACAGACCAACCTGGCGTACGTAAGACATACCAACTGTGTTCCTAACAAGAGAGCTTAGAAGGTACGTGTGTGGTCGAGGTGAAGTTCAGTTTAATTCAGAAATAGATTTTTAAACTCCTGTGGTAGTTCTGTGTTGTAGCCAGGGGCTGGGAGCTTATTGTGTAGAGACTGTCTGTGTTGTATGTTGCAGGGACTTTGTGGCTGGGAGGTTGTTGTTGTTGTTTATCCCCATGGAGAAGGCTGCTGTGCTGTGGGGGCAGGGAATAGTTCCCTCTCTCCCTTTCTCTCTTGCGCACATAAACACAGGTACACACACACACTCTCTCTCTCTCGATCTCTCTCTCTGTCCTCTCTCTCCTTCTCTTTCCCACTCTCTCTTTCTTTTCCCCACTCTCTTTCTCTCTCTCTCTCTCCCTCTCTTTCTCTCTCTCTCTCTCTCTCTCTCTCTCTCTCTCTCTCTCTCTCTCTCTCTCTCTCTCTCTCTCTCTCTCTCTCTCTCTCTCTCTCTCCCTCTCCCTCTATTTCTTTATTTTTCTCTCTCTCTCTCCAGACCTCCAGGCTGCCAGTGAGTGAAAAGCATGCTGGGTAAACCGGAGTTAGAGGAGAAACAGAGGCAGGGGGAAAGAACAGTAACACTTCCAGAGAGAGTGCATTACTGTGAACACACAAACACACATACACACACACACACACACACACACACACACACGTACACGCATGCATGCACATGCACACTCACACACTTATTTCACACACCTTTCCTGAACAATGTTCTCCACCACTGAGCCATCCATCCATACCTTAATCTGTTTAAGGCAAATACACAAACTCTGTTTACACATAGAGCAGTACCATATTAAATTAAATGGCTATTTCAACACAAGAACTGTATGTATCCTGTCCCCAAACATTAGTGGGAGAGACAAAAGAGGATGACATGGGAGTGGGGAGTGGGGGGTGGGGGGGATTAAAAGGGGGGTAGTTGGCTGTTATCTTGGCTCAGATTAGTAAATCTGACCTAAAAAGTCAGCCAGTGGAAACTTCAGAGAGTTTGGGTCTGTCTCACAGAGGCTTTTAACCCAGTCTATGCCTAGGGAGAGAAAGAGAGAGAAAGAGAGAGAGAGAGAGAGAGAGAGAGAGAGAGAGAGAGAGAGAGAGAGAGAGAGAGAGAGAGAGAGAGAGAGAGAGAGAGAGAGAGAGAGAGAGAGAGAGAGAGGATGAATGGACAGGGGGAGAGAGGACGAATGAAGGGTGGTAACTATCTTTACTGTCACTCACCACTGTGTCTGATAACACCTCTTTGCGGACCACCAGCATTTTGCCTCCCTCCTCTACCCTTGACCCTTAAATACGCTCCTGTCTGTGGCCATCTCACTGCCCATAGCCATTGTCTGGTGGTATGTTTAGGGCTTGGTAATATTGGGGAGTTTGTAAAATAGCACAGGAAGCAGTCCGAGGCAGTGGTGAAATGTGCCCGTGCCACCTGTCTGAGGGAAAACAAATAAGGAGTAAAAATAACCTGGGCGGCTGGCAGAAACACACAGGAAAGAACCCACTGAGACAGAGACAGAGGAGGGAGGAGGGTGGCTCATTTGATCATGACATGAAACTGGTATACTGTTAACATTTGCTCCTGTATAATAAGTAGAGTCATGCGCTGGATTATGGATTTTACTAGGGTTCTGGGAGTTTGAGTTTGCCAATATATTGTGGGATATTGGTGGCATTTATTTTGGTCTCTTAGTGGTGGGATGTTGGATGTCTTTGGAGCATTGGTAGGTTGTTGTGTCACTGATACACCACCACCACCATGATCTAACCTTACTTACTCTGTGTGTGGTGTGTGTGTTTGTGTTTGTGTGTGTTTGTGTGGTGTGTGTGTGGTGTGTGTCTTCCAGAGTGCAGCAGCAGCCCCCAGTCCCATCCTTGGGAACCTTCCCCCAGGAGAGGGAATGCCAGTGGGTCCTGTACCTCCAGGATTCTTCCAGGTACACACACACACATTGTTGAATTTATAAAGCATTAAGGGGTCTTCCCTGTGCTCTGGCTGAATGGGCTACAGGGAAGTATTTAACATGGCACTCAGCCGATTGCTGTGCGTCATTGCGGTGGCCACACAGTTCCTGCTGTGTTATCTGGTGTTTGTGTGTGTGTGGGTGACAGAAAAGGTTGTCTATCAGATTAGTAACTACAGATTATGACCAACAGAACACACTGTCCTGAAGACAAGGGATTGCCATTAATGACACATTGGACAATAGTGAACGTGAGAGAGATAACCTGCCTGGTGTCGGTGGTATCTGTTCTGGCTATAGGACTTTGGTTTTGAATTGGAGCGGAATAGGTGGAAGGGTATGTATGGCTAGAGGAGTTGAGTGGGGAGTTACCATGGAACTGCAGAAAAAGGAAAATCTTCTGCTGAACTGACTGGATTGAAATGGAATTGACATCATCCCTGCTAGTTGTTCTTATAACAGTGCCTGTCTTCTACATTTTACATTTTAGTCATTTAGCAGACGCTCTTATCCAGAGCGACTTACAGGAGCAATTAGGGTTAAGTGCCTTGCTCAAGGGCACATCGACAGATTTTTCACCTAGTCGGCTCGGGGATTAGAACCAGCGACCTTTTGGTTACTGGCACTACGCTCTTAACCACTAAGCTACCTGCCGCCAGTCTATCCCCATGTCCCTCCATAGACCCTCCTACCAGCTGCATAAGATGGTAGATTAGCTGTGTTAGACGGTCATGTCAAGAGGAGAGCATTAACTGTGTGTGTGTGCTGGTTGGGCTAGAGGAGGCTACCTGTACTTCATCCTCTTACAACAACACTACATGCTCACAGAGGCTAATTCAATCGTCTTTCCATTTGTGTATGTTTTAACAATACAGGGACCTGACGCTCTGTAGCTAGGAGTTGATTTGATTTTGTGTACGTGTGTGTGCATGCCAGTGTGTGTTGGTGCACAGGTGTTTGTATGTGTGTCTGGGCACTATGAGCCTCCTCTCTTAGGCAGTCAGTCTCTCCATTACATTAGTCAGTCGGCTGTGAGTGCATGGATTAAATGTCATTAATAGTCAAACTCAGTAGCTCACGTCTGACACTAAGATCAATAGCCTTCATGGCAATTTTTCAGATCAGCTTTTCAGAAAACTCAAACTTGAGTCAAAACACACCCTTTTCCACCACCTCCTGGTCCCCTGATCCTTGCTGAAAATCAATCATTGTTGTTTGAAGCTGTCTTTGAAGATGATTTCTTGTCAAGGCCAATCAGGGTCTGAGACAGAGCAGACTAGTTCCTCCCTGAGATTCTTACAGAGGCCATACTGAATGATCAACACATGCCTGTGCAGCATTGAATCAACAAACAAACTAGCCACAACACAGGCACTCACTGGCAGAAACACACATGCACACACACCCCAACTGGCTCCATAGTCCATATTGATTCATGTCTTTTGACTTACTTTAATTTACTCAGTTCTTTGCTCTTTTGCTCATTCACAAATAAATGTAATAATATATTCATTCATTAATTTCAGTCATTCATCCATATACATTTATATTATTTATTAGACTCTGCTATTCTCTTTTTACCTTTTCAAGGGCTGAAATACACTTGGGCTGAAATACACATAAGATAATGAGAAACATAATAGTACATGATCATCTCTGTGTTGTAAAGTCAATGCCCATTTCATTTGGATCCAAACGGAGAGGAAAGCAGGTAGCAGAGGGACTGGATGTAAACTGGATGTCACTGCTCCCTAGTGGTATGTTATGGAACGGCCACCTAGTGGTGTGTTATGGTACTGCTCCAAAGTGGTGTGTTATGTACTGCTCCGTAGTGGTGTGTTATGGTACTGCTCCCTAGTGGTGTGTTATGGTACTGCCACCTAGTGGTGTGTTATGGTACTGCTCCAAAGTGGTGTGTTATGTACTGCTCCCTAGTGGCGTGTTATGGTACTGCTCCCTAGTTGTGTGTTATGGTACTGCTTCCCTGAAGCTCACATCATTGGCTGGGTTTGGTTCAGTAGCGGTGCTTGGGTAAAATCCCTGTGGAAGCCAAGCCAGTAAAAAAGCCATATTACAACGTATGTTGTGATAATTGTGTTGTTTGCTCTACAACCTATGTTGTGATAATTGCGTTATTTGCTCTATAACCCATTCGTTCATACGCCACCGTGATATACAATAAGGCCGAGACAACAAAAAGACAAAAGTCACACGATCGCGGAATAAATTAAACTACACATTTGTTTTTTACATCAATAAACCGGAGAGCAGCATCTGTCCGGTGAAGTCCACAAAGCAAATATTGCATGTAACAAAACAGTTATATGACCTACAGCGTGGTCAGGCAAGTTCATGATTTCGACAGTTTACTAAACAATTACTGAGTTACCGCAAGTCAGCACAAAGACAACAGGAGCACTGCCTCCGTTATTCCAGCACCATTTCAACTTAAACATTTAAACATCATCAAATCAACTAGGCTATAATACAGTGAAAACAAACTTAAAGAGACCAAAAACAATTTAGTCTAATCAATGTTGCTAAATATCATGTGGCTGTCCATGGTATTGATTTCTTTCTGTGTGTGCGTGCGTGCGCAAGTCAAAAATGTTGACTCATCCTACTTGTAGACCAGTTGAACGCCAATGCCATCCTCCTCTCTTTCATGTTGGCAAAATGGTCTATGGCTCTGTCATACAGTACACTTTTAGTTTTTGTTATCATAGGCTACCTAGCTAAAATATCTTGCTAGCCTAACTTCCTCCCATGGGCAACAATGAACCAGCTAAGTAAGCTAGCTAGTTAACGTGAGCCTAGTCTACATCTAGGCTACATATTGAACTTCAATTGTCTCAGGCCAGTGGCACAATGTATTAATGTATGGCTAGATCAGAATCACCGTCATAATCAGAGAATGTACAGAGAATGTACAAAGAATTAAGTCAAAACCACAATTCCAAATCCCCATCTCCATCCATGTCTTAGGAAAAGGCTGATTTAGCAAGCTAGCTACTGCAGGACAACAACAAAAGCAGACCAGAAACAGACACATAAAAAATGAATAAATACGTTTTTCTGACAATTACGTTTGAGTTGGATGTGATTTGATTGGTGTGAAGCCAGATCCAAACTGGCCTCCCTTGGGGGGTGTTTTGCTGCACCAGGACAAGTTGAGCAGCTCAATGCTGATTGGCTAATTATTTTATACTTTTTTTAATCAAGGGAGGCCAAATGTTTGCTGGCATCAATCAATCAAATGTTATGGCGGCAACATGTCATACTCTTTCGGACCAGACAGCATCAAATACATGGGCTACACATACTGAGACAGAGGGGCGCTGTTTCCCTTGCTCTGATGACTTCTCCGGTGAGATTCAGCCACTTGCAAATTGAAGGGAAATTATGAAAACACAGAGAGATGAAAGATTAATTATTTTATCATTTTTATTTTTGTATTGGTCAAATATTTGGGGAAGCCTAGCTTCCCATGGCATCCATGAATACACGCCACTGGTTTGGTTTAGTTTGAATTGACCCCAACATTTATGGGACAGTTCATTGTGTGTGGTGTAGACATTGGATAGCAGACACAGACAATAGCAACATTATATTTCAATCACAGAACACACACGTTAGTCCTACAGGAAACACACTGATAGTCTGAAACATACACATAGTAGTTAGTCATGGGAGTGTGGAAGTGTCATGACTGACTGTCATACTAACATTGTTAGCATTCATTATCATATACTTTATCTCTTTCCATAGGTCTTTATCTTTCCCCCTAACTCTATCTTCCTCTATCCCCCGCTCTCTTTGTATGTGTACTGGTATGTGTGTGCATGCTTGTAACCCTGTTTGTGTGTGTGTGTACCTTCACAGACGTTCATGTCACCTCGTTACCCTGGTGGGCCCAGACCTCCCCTCAGAATACCCAATCAGGTAAGATCACTGATGCACAGACACCCTCCTCAGGTTACAATAGGATATGTACCCTCATCTTCTTTATTCCCCTTCACTTATATCTGCTTCTCTATACCTTATTGGACTACATTATATTGTCTTGTCTTACCCTCTTTGACCGTGTTTGGACATGATTGTGTGTATAGCTCCTTAGCTTTAGTATATGTTAGTGATGTTGCGTTATTTTCTGTGATGATGATGATGATGATGATGATGATGATGATGATTTCGGCTCAGGCAATGGGGGTCCATGGTAACCAGCCTATGCTACCCAGCGGAATGGACCCCACGAGACAACAAGGTGTGTGTCACACATACACACCACAGACTCTTACTCACATACACACACATACATGGGCTGAGAGCTGATGGCTCTCTGTTTCTTCAGGGCATCCAAATATGGGCGGGCCCATGCAGCGAATTACTCCACCCAGAGGGATGGTCCCTCTTGGGCCACAGGTATGTGATTGGATGAAATCTCCAGGTTTGCGTAAGTTTAAACTCCTTCTGTCACATTTGCAGATGTTTGGTTGTTTGTGTTTGTAGGTGGGTGGGTGAATATATTTGTGTTTATGTGTTTGTATACATGTGTGGTAGTATACTATGGTTGTATTTCTACTCTCCACCTGTGGATCCTGTTTAATGTGTGTACATTAGTTTACAGTAGTTTGACCTTTGACCTTGGGTTTCTCTTTTCCAGAACTACGGTGGAGGGATGAGACCTCCTCTAAATGCACTTGTCGGCCCTGGGATGCCTGGCATGAACATGTGAGCACTCTGTCATCAACACACACACACACACATACACACACTACACTACACGCACAACCACACATACAGTGCCTTCGGAAAGTATTCAGACCCCTTGACTTTTTTCACATTTTGTTACGTTACAGCTTTATTCTAAAATTGATTAAATTGTTTTTTTCCTCATCAATCTACAAAAAATACCCTATAATGACAAAGCAAAAAAGTTTTTTAAAAATTGTTATTAATACATTTACATAAGTATTCAGACCTTTTACTTAGTACTTTGTTGAAGCACCTTTGGCAGCAATTACAGCATCGTGTCTTCTTGGGTATGATGCTGCAAGCTTGGCACACCTGTATTTGGGGAGTTTCTCCCATTCTTCTCTGCAGATCCTCTCAAGCTCTGTCAGGTTGGATGGGGAGCGTTACTGCACAGCTATTTTCAGGTCTCTCCAGAGATGTTAGATTGGGTTCAATTCCGGGCTCTGGCTGTGCCACTCAAGGACATTCAGAGACTTGTCCCGAAGCCACTCCTGCGTTGTCTTGGCTGTGTGCTTAGGGTCGTTGTCCTGTTGGAAGGTGAACCTTCACCCCAGTCTGTAGCCCTGAGCGCTCTGGAGCAGGTTTTCATCAAGGATCTCTCTATCCTTTGCTCCGTTCATCTTTCCCTCGATCCTGACTAGTCTCCCAGTCCCTGCCGCTGAAAAACATCCCCACAGCATGATGCTGCCACCACCATGCTTCACCGTAGGGATGGTGCCAGGTTTCCTCCAGATGTGACGCTTGGCATTCAGGCCAAGGAGTTCAATCTTTGTTTCATCAGACCAGAGAATCTTGTTTCTCATGGTCAGACCAGAGAATCTTGTTTCTCATGGTCTGAAAGTCTTTAGGTGCCTTTCGGCAAACTCCAAGTGGGCTGTCATGTGCCTTTTACTGAGGAGTGGCTTCCGTCTGAACACTCTACCATAAATGTCTGATTGGTGGAATGCTGCAGAGATGGTTGTCCTTCTGGAAGGTTCTCCCATCTCCACAGAGGAACTCTGGAGCTCTGTCAGAGTGACCATCGGGTTCTTGGTTACCTCCCTGACCAAGGCCCTTCTCCCCCGATTGCTCAGTTTGGCCGGGCAGCCAGCTCTAGGAAGAGTCTTGGTGGTTCTAAACTTCTTCGATTTAAGAATGATGGAGGCCACTGTGTTCTTAGGGACCTTCAATGCTGCAGACATTTTTTGGTACCCTTCCCCAGATCTGTGCCTAGACACAATCCTGTCTCGGAGCTCTACGGACAATTCCTTCGACCTCATGGCTTGGTTTTTGCTCTGACATGCACTGTCAACTGTGGGACCTTATATAGACAGGTGTGTGCCTTTTCAAATATAATATAATATAATATGCCATTTAGCAGACGCTTTTATCCAAAGCGACTTACAGTCATGCGTGCATACATTTTTGTGTATGGGTGGTCCCGGGGATCGAACCCACTACCTTGGCATTACAAGCGCCGTGCTCTACCAAATCATGTCCTATCAATTGAATTTACCACAGGTGGACTCCAATCAAGTTGTAGAAACATCTCAAGGATGATCAATGGAAACAGGATGCACCTGAGCTCATTTTCAAGTATCATAGCAAAGGATCTAAATACTTATTTTTTAAATATACATTTGCAAAAAAAAAAAAAAATCCAGAAAATCACATTGTAGGATTTTTAGTGAATTTATTTGAAAATTATGGTGGAAAATAAGTATTTGGTCAATAACAAACGTTTCTCAATACTTTGTTATATACCCTTTGTTGGCAATGACACAGGTCAAATGTTTTCTGTAAGTCTTCACAAGGTTTTCACACACTGTTGCTGGTATTTTGGCCCATTCCTCCATGCAGATCTCCTCTAGAGCAGTGATGTTTTGGGGCTGTCGCTGGGCAACACGGACTTTCAACTCCCTCCAAAGATTTTCTATGGGGTTGAGATCTGGAGACTGGCTAGGCCACTCCAGGACCTTGAAATGCTTCTTACGAAGCCACTCCTTCGTTGCCCGGGCGGTGTGTTTGGGATCATTGTCATGCTGAAAGACCCAGCCACGTTTCATCTTCAATGCCCTTGCTGATGGAAGGAGGTTTTCACTCAAAATCTCACGATACATGGCCCCATTCATTCTTTCCTTTACACGGATCAGTCGTCCTGGTCCCTTTGCAGAAAAACAGCCCCAAAGCATGATGTTTCCACCCCCATGCTTCACAGTAGGTATGGTGTTCTTTGGATGCAACTAAGCATTCTTTGTCCTCCAAACACGACGAGTTGAGTTTTTACCAAAATGTTCTATTTTGGTTTCATCTGACCATATGACATTCTCCCAATCCTCTTCTGGATCATCCAAATGCACTCTAGCAAACTTCAGACGGGCCTGGACATGTACTGGCTTAAGCAGGGGGTCACGTCTGGCACTGCAGAATTTGAGTCCCTGGCGGCGTAGTGTGTTACTGATGGTAGGCTTTGTTACTTTGGTCCCAGCTCTCTGCAGGTCATTCACTAGGTTCCCCTGTGTGGTTCTGGGATTTTTGCTCACCGTTCTTGTGATCATTTTGACCCCACGGGGTGAGATCTTGCGTGGAGCCCCAGATCGAGGGAGATTATCAGTGGTCTTGTATGTCTTCCATTTCCTAATAATTGCTCCCACAGTTGATTTCTTCAAACCAAGCTGCTTACCTATTGCAGATTCAGTCTTCCCAGCCTGGTGCAGGTCTACAATTTTGTTTCTGGTGTCCTTTGACAGCTCTTTGGTCTTGGCCATAGTGGAGTTTGGAGTGTGACTGTTTGAGGTTGTGGACAGGTGTCTTTTATACTGATAACAAGTTCAAACAGGTGCCATTAATACAGGTAACGAGTGGAGGACAGAGGAGCCTCTTAAAGAAGAAGTTACAGGTCTGTGAGAGCCAGAAATCTTGCTTGTTTGTAGGTGACCAAATACTTACTTTCCACCATAATTTGCAAATGAATTCATAAAAAATCCTACAATGTGATTTTCTGGATTTTGTTTTCTCATTTTGTCTGTCATAGTTGACGTGTACCTATGATGAAAATTACAGGCCTCTCTCATCTTTTTAAGTGGGAGAACTTGCACAATTGGTGGCTGACTAAATACTTTTTTTCCCCACTGTACATACACACACTAGATAACAAAAACACGTGCACCCACACACAATGAACAGACACAGCACTGTAAACATACAATGCACACCATCCTTTTGCTCTTCACCCCCAAAGGATTTGGTTATGCAAGAGTTCTATAAAAACAATAATTCCTCAATCCCTCACTAGATACAATCACTGCCCTCAGAGCTGATTATGATTGGATGTGCTGTCCTCGCTTTGCGCTCCTCTCTTCATTTCTCTGGCCTCTAAATGATGTGTTCTTGCCAAGACTGTTGACGGGAAATAGAACAACCCAGAAGGACTGTGTAAGAACAGAGCGAACTAAAATGTGTGTGTGTGTGTGTGTGTGTGTGTCGGGGGTGTGTGGGTGGGTGGGTGTATTCTAGGGGCCCTGGTGGGGGTAGACCTTGGCCAAATCCTCAAAACGCCAACTCAGTGAGTAACCAGAAAAACAAACTTTAACACAACCACCAAGACAGATACCTAAATATACTACAATAACAATAAAACAGTAAATACATTAAAAAAAAAAATAATTACATACATTTCCTGAAGAGAGGATTTGAATAAAGATACATTTTATTTTCTCACGCTCTCTCTCTTTGTCTGTCTGTAGATCCCCTACTCCTCTGCCTCTCCGGGGAGTTATGTGGTATGTATATATTATGACCTTGTATATAGTAAGACCCTATAGAATGCTTATTTACTCAATTGTGTTCTTCTTATTTCTTATTTTTGTATATATTGTGTGGTTTTGTTCTACCTTGTTATTTTTAGCATTACATTGTTATTGATTATGACATTGTTGGGATTAGAGCTAGCAAGAAAACCATTTCACTGTACTTGTGCATGTGACATTAAAACTTGATAACTATGTGACTGGAAGTTGGTTGTCTGTATTTGCCTGTTAGTTACAAGGCAGTATATAGTGTATTGTCTTTATAGATATTAGGAGCATTGTATTGTTGGTGTGTAGTAGCTGTGATGCATTAATCTCCCAATTGTCAACTCTCATTTTAGGGTCCGCCGGGAGGAGGGGGACCACCTGGTACTCCAATAATGCCCAGCCCAGCAGGTAGCGTGCGTGTGTTTGGGGGCCTTGACCTGAGTGGGGCTAATGGATGTATGTGTGGGGTTAGACAGGGACAGGAATGCATTCACAATGTTACAAACTGACTTTAGTGAATTGGTCTGTCAAACAATTTAACTGTATATATCTGGCCTAAAGTGTGACTTTACCTGAAGTTAGTTGCCTATTTGGGTTATAGTATGTTAAAGTTTCTAGTGGGTACTTAACCTGAGGTTGTCTGATGTGTGTGTGTATGTATGCATGTGTGTGTGTGCGTGTACATATGTATACTGTATGTATTAGTTGTGTATACTGTGTTTCCTGTCAGACTCGACTAACTCCGGTGACAACATGTACACCATGATCAACACAGTCCCCCCAGGTGGAAACAGACCAAATGTAAGACAACTTAATCTTCATTATCTGTGGGTGTGCGTGCATATGTGTGTATTTAACTGTGTATTACTGTTTGCTTGTGTTTCGGCCTTAGTTTCCAATGGGTGCTGGTGTAGACGGTCCAATGGGAGGGATGGCAGGAATGGAGCCACATCACATGAACGGATCGCTAGGTAACACTTAAGGGATCTATTCAATTTGTAAAGCTGAAGCATTTATGGAGCGTTTACCGTGAAAGCGGTCTCTGCTAAAGCAGGAACATTGCCTTTAAATTTCAATCACGCTATAAAGCTGAACTTCCGCGATGTGGATTGAATAGAGCTTTGAGCTTGTTCTTAACTCACTACACTAGTCTTTTGAAGGGCAAGTTTATGTGTTTGCTGGGACTGTATAATAGTAATGCCCTTCTTTCTCCCAACCACCCAGGGTCTGGTGACATGGATAGCCTCCCTAAGGTAAGAGAAGACTCCAACCCAACCCATACCATCAGTCATTTGCGTCAATCAATTATCAGACAGAATTTTGTAGTGTATGTGGTTGAAATATTGGTACTACCGTTAATGGTTAATCTACCCTATAGAGTATGTATGGTATACAGATAGATAATATATTATATTTCTCTGTTGTGTGGTTGGTCCTGATCAGAACTCTCCTGGTAACCTGAGTATGAGTAACCAGCCGGGGACCCCCAGAGATGACGGAGAGATGGGGGGCAACTTCCTCAACCCCTTTCAGAACGAGAGCGTGAGTCCATACCCGCACCCACAGAAGTTACTCAAAGTGCCAGCGACACATATTTTAGCAGGACTGAAGATTATCTTTACCAACTTTCAAAATTAACATTAGCCTACCATCTATATCTTTTTTACATGGTGTTGATAATAAATATTAAAGGGCCTGGACACTGAAATGCTCCATTACCAACACAATATTTCACCAACCACCTCAGGTGTGTGCAGGGGAATTTCAGTGTGTGTGCCCTATTTGTTCATTCCATAAAAAGTGATGTGATTAGCTTCATAAGAGTATTGATAATATTTCCATAACCCCCTCTGTCCATCTCTCTCTCTCTCTGTCTCTCTCTGTAGTATTCTCCAAACATGACGATGAGTGTGTGAAGGCTCCGCCAGCTGGTCAGTTAGTGGTGTGGATTGGTGAAAGAGACAGGACGTGATGTAATCTTTGCCCAGTGGCTCTTCCTCTCTGTGCCCTGCCTACCAGGACAGTAGACCGAGGCCTCGTTCTTCCCCTGGCCTCTCTCTATCTGTGTTTGTTCTCTTCTTCTGTTTCCTCTCCCTTTTACACTTGTGACCTTCTACTTCGTTCATCACCTACCATCAGAGACTGTATAAAAGGAACGTCAATTCCAACAAACCAGGAAATAAAAATCTCTGTATATTTATAAATGTATGTCACTGTGCATACTCTCAGTCGTGATAACACAGAAAGATGTTCCATGCTCCACCATCTTGTGGAAAAGACACTGAAAACCCTCAAGTGTAAAGAAATCTGAGCAGATAGCTTTCTGGCCTGTCTCCCCACCTGCATTTGTTATGAGTCTTGAGATTTGATGGGCATGATGGCAACCACAGTCTATGATTGGATGAATTATATTGAGATGACAACTTCAGTCTCATTGGATATACAACAACCTGGGATAAAGCCTATTTAATGGCATCCTCCATCTCTCATTGGATGAAGATTATGGCAACCACAGTCTTTGATTGGAGAGGGGCGACAGCTTCAGTGATTTGAGATCTTCGTCCCACAATGTTTTTTAGTTTCACCTCCATACACCTGGATCTGATGTGCTATGTTGACTGCAGAGAGCGAGAGAGTGCGAGAGAGAGAGAGTGCGAGAGAGAGAGAGAGAGAGAGAAAGAGAGAGAAGAGAGAGAGAGAGAGAGAGAGAGAGAGAGAGAGAGAGAGAGAGAGAGAGAGAGAGAGAGAGAGAGAGAGAGAGAGAGAGAGACAGTGAGAGAGATCATTCAGTACAGTATGGGCCATATTTTCAATTCTGTCTTTTATTGGTTGGTTGATTTTGTTTTGTGTGTTGAATGGTTTGAGAATGTACTCATGATTGTTGCGTTGTACACTGTGTAAGTGTACTGGCTGGAGAGTATTGTAAGGCTACATCTTATCATTTACTGGGAGCATCCTTATATCTATGTCTTGACCACGAGCATCAACACCTAAAAACAAATAGAGATTCACCAATCTAACAATGACACATCTGAAATGGAGAGAACAGAGAAAATGCAAGCAGTTGGTTGTCTGAAAGATAACTATTTTCTGCCTTGTCAAAAGGATGCAATGTCTGTTATGATTTTTCAAAGAATACAAGACTGTAAATCGAAATGAAAAAGGAAAACAAAAAGTTCAGCAATTGTTGACAATGGTTGTAGGGATTTTTGTGTGAAGGTATTATTAAAAACATGCATTTAAATCATTTTCTTAATTAATTTATTATTGTCATCCGGAAAAACTGTGATATTAATGTATTTTGGAGAGTATGTATACATTTTAGTAATTTAGCAGACGCTCTTATCCAGAGCAACTTACAGTTAGTGACTGCATACATTTTCATACTGGCCCCCCCGTGGGAAACGAACCCACAACCCTGGCGTTGCAAGCGCCATGCTCTACCAACTGAGCTACAGGGGACTATAGAGGCGAAATAGGTGTGTTTTGTATTATTTTAAACCTAATCCTTAGCCCATGTTAGTTTATTACGATATTATTTAGAAGTCCATGACTTGTGGATTTTACTATTCCCTCCTGTAGATCTAAATCTCACGCATCTAACTCCTCTTCTTTATGTATCTGTAACACATGGAGGGATGGACAGAAAGAGAGAATGAAAGAGAGAGGGGGAAGATGAACTAGGGGACACAAATACAGAGCCGTTTGTTTTAATGTTAGTTTAAAGTCACAAGTATGAATAATGAAAGATGCATATTTTTTTCTATGAAATTTGACAATTTACACATTTTTGGATTCCAAATGTTGGTAATGTTTGCTTCCATTTGTGATGTGTTCATTTTCTTCCTTTTTCTTTTGTTGTTTTCTTTTTACCTCTGTATGTTTTGTAAATACACTGAGAAGTACTACATGGGTTTTGAATATGCTGGTATAAAGCTTCTCTTCCCTCATTGAAAATGTCGACTCCTTGTGTATGTCTAATGTGTGTGTGTAGGCTTATGATGTGCATGCATGTGTTTACACAGGCAGCTCAATTCTATTTTTAGTTTTTTTAGTACTTTTTATCCCTTTTTTCTCCCCAATTAATTGTTACAGTCTTGTCTCATCAATGCAACTCCCCTACGGACTCGGGAGAGGCGAAGGTCGAGAGCCATGCGTACTCCGAAACACGACCTTGCCAAGCCGCACTGCTTCTTGACACACTGATCGCTTAACCCGGAAGCCAGCCGCACCAATGTGTCAGAGGAAACACTGTCCAACTGATTAGCAAAGTCAGCTTGCAGGCACCCGGCCCACCACAAGGAGTCGCTAGAGCACGATGGGACAAGGAAATCCCCGCAGGCCAAACCCTCCCCTAACCCGGGGGACGCTGGGCCAATTGTGCGCCGCCTCATGGGTCTCCCGGTCACGGCCGGCTGTGACACAGCCTGTGATGCAGTGCCTTAGACCGCTGCACCACTCGGGAGGCCTAGGCAGCCCAATTCTGATATTTTTTGGGTCTTTTGACCAATCACGTCAGATCTTTTCAAATCAGATCTTTTTCAGAGCTGATCTGGTTGGTCAACAAAAAAAAGATCAGATTTGGGCTGCCTGTCTAAACGCAGCTAATTATGTGCATGTGTCTGTCAACAACAACAGCAGTACACCACTTCCCAGTGAGCTAAATTATATACATTTGCTTTTTCAAAAGGGTAGGAAGCATGAGTTTTTACTCACCAATGTAACAACACAGTGTGGTCAAAGACTTACCTATAAGTACAAACAAGTATGTTTGTAGAAGGCCTGCTGCTAATCAGATGGGGGGAGGAGAGGAGGTATGGGGCACACGTGGGTTACTGGGGGTGCCCTGCCTTGATTGGCTAACTGATTAATATTTATTTTTACTGCATAATAAATAAATGTGACTGGTCAATTGTGTGAGTAAGGGGCTAGGCCCAAGCCTATAGGGGGCCCAAGAGTGGCTATAAAATAAAATAATATGATTTCTGTATCCTGCCCTGATCATACCTGCTTGCTCTAATTGTGTAGTACTTCGTCTGTTCTCCTTTTTGTGTGTTCTCTGTGAAGTAGGCTATGGGAGTTTTGTAACTTTTTCCCACCTTGGCTTAGTCCTAGCGCGCTAGCTGACAGACATCTGGAATCTATGTATTTTGGATTTCCCTGACTCTCCCTCGGCCTAATGAAGCGCCCGCCTCCCCCTCACTTTGGTAGCTAACTCAGACTGCATTCTTTTAAAAGTTTTACCATCGGATGGGCCCCAGCCATCAATCTGTAAGTCTCTGCTCTCTCTTTGCTTTTAATCTGTGATGGAATTTAAAATCACATCAAAAACATATCATCAAAACATTATGTGCTTTTAAAACACCTCCCTGTGATTGATCAATTTGAAGAAAGAAGTTCAACAATAGGTTGAAACTGAGTGGAAAACATGGTCGTTGACATTGTGGATGTTGTTTCAAAGCCTAACAACGAAATTGACAGCACTTTCTAAGGTGATGATTAATTCAAAACAACTATATGTATGTTAGAGTTTATGCATAAGCATAGGCCTATATATGAGCCCAAGTTCGAAAAAAAACCATGAATTAAAATAATGGTTGTGCCGTTATAAAATACATAGCCAACCACATATTACACATGGCAGAAAAACATTTAAAAAATACTGATTTAAGATATATTTGTTACATAATTGGTCTAGCCTAAATTAAACAAATTCAGATTTAGCATACAATTATAGTGAATTTGTTTTAGATTTTGAATAGCCTAATAGGGAATTTTTGTTATTTTCATAATTAATAGACACACTACCTTTAGCTACAGAATATCTCACCAGCTACAGAATATCTCACCACCGTGAGTTTCCATCTCCTCCCTTCTCGCCTTCATTCCTTTCTCAAGCGCGCAGAGAGAGGGGCTGTCAACAGTTCAATGAAATATGTTTCGTTGTGAAAACATATTACTATTGGTGTTCCCGAACAGATTTCACTAGGTTTCGCAAATTAAGCACTGGGTAGCTGCAGGAACAGGGTTGGAGAGCCCATGGCATATAGAGGTTGGTTCAAAATATCACCTGTGGCGCAGCGAAATTACCGGAGTAGCCTACCCAACATGAGTGAAAAACGTAACTGTAGGAAAGTGGCCTCCATTCGCTAATCCAGTCCATACGGATTACATCTATTTTGTTTTGCCCCTGTTCTTGACCATTTGATAATGTGCCATTCTAAATCGAAACTAATTTTACATATTAGTAAAGACATGATTACATTGAGTATAGTCTGATGGGTGAAAATATAATCACTTTATGAGAGAACAGCATGTGCAGCCTGAGGCAAGGAATGCAAGCTTTTTTTTGCAATTTAAATCATTATTATAAACTGGGTGGTTCGAGCCCTGAATGCTGATTGGCTGACAGCCATGGTATATCAGACGGTATACCATGGGTATGACAAACCATTTATTTTGACTGCTCTAATTACGTTGGTAAGCAGTTTATAATAGCAATAAGACACCTCGGGGGTTTGTGATATATGGCCAATATACCAGGGCTAAGGGCTGTGTCCAGGCACTCAGCATTGCGTCGTACTTAAGAACAGCCCTTAGCCTTGGTATATTGGCCATATACCACCTCCTCGGGCCTTATTGCTTAAATAGCCTATAGTCACATCATGCAGCACATATATCTTTTTATTTCTAAGGCATTCTAAGGTTTGTATCATTCACAACTAAAGTTGCCTAATAACTCAAAATCTAGCATATAGGACCTGTTTCAAATGATCACTTTTACACTCAACTTCATATGCACGCACTCGCTCCGGAATGGGAAATATATTCATTATATTTTATTCAGCTAAGTTCAGTTATATTTTTCTTACTATAAAATCATATAATATAAAATAATGGCACTGTACTTATAAGC